ACCTTGAGTTTTGATGTAGAGTATTGGCTCACTATAGCTCATCCTGAATCCTTGCTCCAAGAAGTAATTGTCGATTCTGCTGTACCAAGCTCGTGGAGCTTGTTTTAAGCCATATAATGCATTCTTTAATCTGAGAACTTTGTCTTCTTGTCCTTGCACCACGAACCCTTGAGGTTGCTCCACATAGATTTCCTCCTTAAGATAGCCATTGAGGAATACAGATTTTACATCAAGTTGAAAAGTTTTCCATTTCTTCTGTGCAGCTAGTGCTATCAATGCCCTGATTGTGTCAAGGTGAGCAACTGGAGCAAATGTCTCATTGTAGTCGATACCGTATTATTGTGAGTATCATTTGGCAACTAGCCTTGCTTTAAGCTTCTGGATTGAGCTATCTGAGTTAAGCTTTGATTTGTAGACCCACTTAACTCCAATAGTGTCTTTGTCTTGTGGACGATCCACAAGCTCCCAAGTTTCATTTTTTTCGATCATTTTTATCTCTTCATTCATAGCTTTTCTCAATTTTTCTTCTTTAAAAGCTTCTTCAAAGCTTTCTGGTTCTATGATCATCAAGTTGCATGTTTCATATATTTCCGTTAAGGATTTAGTTCGCCTTGGTGGTGAGTCCGGAGTAGACTGTGAAGCTTGTTCCGGTTCCGATTGTGTTGGCGAATTGATTTGATCACGATCTTCTTCAATTCTTTGACTTGGTAATATAGGCAAGTTGATAGTCTTTCTTTCAACTTCTTTTGTCTCCCAATTGTATGTAGCATCCTCGTCGAAGCTTATGTGTCGACTAATTATGAGTTTTTCTTTCCTTAAGCTATAGACTCGATAGCCTTTTGATTGAGTGCCATAGCCTAAGAAAATTCCTTTCTCAATCTTCTTATCCAATTTGCATCTTTTCTCTTGTGGGACATGTGTGTAGCATATGCATCCGAAAACTCTGAGATGCTTTGCTGATGGCTTTTGCCCACTCAAAGCTTCAATTGGTGTCCTATCTTGCACAACTTTAGTAGGACATCTGTTGAGCAGATAGATAGCAGTGCTTACTGCCTCTGCCTAGAAAATTTTGGGAAGACCTTTTTCCATGAGCATGGCTCTTGCAGTCTCCATAACTGTTATGTTTTTTCTTTCGGATACTCCATTCTTTTCTGGAGAGTACCCGACTGTAAGTTGATGCTCCATGCCTTCATCTTCACAGAACTTGTTGAATTCATTAGAAGTATATTCTTTGCCTCTGTCACTTCTTATGGTCTTGATGTTGTGACCACTTTGCTTCTCAACACGGGCTTTGAATTTTTTAAAAATATAAAAAATCTGCGATTTTTCTCGCAAGAAATAAACCCATGTCATTCTAGTATAATCATCAATGAAGAGGATGAAATACTTGTTTTGATTATTTGACGGAGTACGCATTGACCACAAACATCTGTATGAATTAACTCCAATGGCTCTTTGGCTCTCCAAGCTTTGCCGGATGGGAAGGGATGTCGATGTTGTTTTCCGAGCATACACCCTTCACAAACATTGTTGAACTCCTTGATAGCTGGTAGGTCACGCATCATGTTCTTCTGCTGAAGAATCCTTAATCCATGGAAATTAAAGTGTCCGAATCTTCTAATGCCATAGCCACGACTCGTCCACTTGTGCTTGCATTGCTATATAACTTGCATCTTTCCATTGAATGGGGAAGCATCTGTTTTCTGTCATTTTTGTTTTTGCAATTTCAAGGGACTTGTCTTGCTTATCATAGATTGTGCAAGAGTTTCCCTCAAAATGTAAAGAGTAACCTCTTTCTATCATTTGGCCCATACTGAGTAGATTTTGATCAATATTGGGGACCAAAAGTACATCATTTATGTATTTCTTGCCTTGTTTGGTGTCAACAACAATTGTGCCTTTGCCGGTTGCTTCCATGAAGTCGCCGTTACCAATTTTGACTTTTGTCTTGATTTTATCAAGACTATGAAAATGCTTTCATTTTTAGTCATGTGGTTACTACACCTACTGTCAAGATACCAAGTATCATTTTTTTTCTTCTATTGCAGAATGACAAGTATAAAAGAGATTATTTTCCCCATTTTTCTTTTCTGAAAAATTAGCTTGATGGGTTTTCTTGAATCTACAATTTTTTCAACATGGCCAAATTTTTTACAGTTTTGGCACTGTGGTTTTCCTTTAAACCAGCAATCTTTCTCCAAGTGGTTGCTCTTCTTGCAAATACCACATGAAGAATACTTGTCATTATTTTCTTTTGGTTTTCCTTGTGACTTTCTTCCATCAACTTTTGGTTTATGAGACCGCAGATTAACTTTAGACTGAAAGGCAGCTTCAACCGAATTTTCATTATGCCTGTCACGCCTATTTTCATATGTCTCGAGAGAGGCCATCAATTCAGTTGGTGATAGTGTTTCTAGATCCTTTGTTTCTTCTATCATCGGAATTATTGGATCATATCTCTCTGTACAAGAGATTAGAATTTTTTCGACTATTTTCTTGTTAGAAATAGTCTCCCCATAGGCTCTCATTTGATTTACTATTTCTTTTATTCTAGAATAGTAATCTTTTGCAGTCTCATTATCCTTCATCTTAAGATTTTCAAAAACCCTTCTAAACTTCTACAATTTAACAGTGCGTACCTTGACAGATCCTTGAAACTCCTCCTGCAGTGTATCCTATGCTTCTTTCGTAGTTGATGCGCCCATGATTCGAGGAAATATCTCCTCAACCATTGCTTGTTGCAAGCAGAATAGTGCTTGACAATCCTTTTGTTGATTCTCTTCATAGATCTTTTGATTTGCTGAAAGAGTAGAGGTGTCTTCAGCAATGCAGAATCCTTCCTCAACGATTCTCCATAAACTTTGTGACAAAAAATAGGTCTTCATTTTGATGGACCAGAAGCCATAGTTTTCTCCATTGAAGATTGGAAGAGAAAGGGTGGAACGATTGGCTTCTGCACATATAATGTTTAGAAGAAATCATGCCCAAGAAATTGATCGAACGAGCTCTAATACCATTGATGGTTTGCGGATGATAGTAACAGTAAATACTGTAAAAAATATGATAGAAAAGACAGAAGAGAACTTAGTTGAACGAGAGAAAAGATTTTGTAAATGTATTATGCTATTTCTCTCTGATATCTAAATCAGTACAGAAGAGGGGTTTTTATAGTAGATGGAGTTGGTTGAAGGTGAACCGACTTACATTGAACAAAGACTCACATTAACTCTCCTAGGGAGCTGAAACGACTTTGGAACTACCTACCTTTGGAAGATGCAATCGACGCACATTGGAATGAAGCGAACATTGGAGGAGAGTTTTATGTATTTTCGAGAGGACTGATTCAATGATTCTTGGAAATGTGTGGCAACATTTAATAAATAAGAGCTAAGTCTTTTTTCAAACTGTTATTAAAGAAAATCTGTATCTAAGGAATAATAATGCCAGAGTTGCAAAGTAAAGGTTCTGAAAAACTTGTTACCTTTCTCTACGATCTTTCCTTGATGAATGACAGCGATCATATGAGCATTCCTTACCGTAGTCAGGCGATGGGCAACAATAACGGTGGTTCTGTTGGCCATAACCCTCTCCAGTGCCTCTTGCACAATTCTTTCAGACTCTGAATCGAGTGCACTTGTGGCTTCATCTAGAAGTAGAATTCGTGGGTCTTTTAAGATTGCTCTAGCTATGACAATTCTCTGCTTCTGCCCTCCAGACAGCTGAATTCCATGCTCACCAACTAATGTGTCTAGTCCCTGAATACAAAAAACATAATATGTATTAGTATCACATTTGGAAAGACAAAGAATCATATTGAGTTTTTGGGGTCTAGTCTTTAAGGACAAATACCGTTTGGTAAGCGGTTTGGTCCATTGGGCTTTTAAAAACACGTTTAGAGGCTATTTATCACGCAGAAAGACCAGAAAGCTAGCTTCTTTCTGAAATTTGGCGCTTTCGGTCTTCTCAGGTCTTTCCGTGCACATGTCTTCTCATCTTTCTAGTTTTTGATTACCAAATGGAAAAAGACCGATTTTCGGTTTTCCAAGCTTGGCAAAGCCCAGAAGATGGCGTGGAAAGACGTGCCAAAGGCGGCCAACTCTTTTCATGTTTGAGCACTACCTACTAGGATGTTTATGTTTTTGATGTATGCTGAATTTAATTTGTTCCCATTCATGCATCCTAAATTGTATTTTCTTTTGGCTCCATTTTTAGAAGGAGTATAAATAGAAATGTGTAGAGTGCAAAAGCTTTTATTTTGTTCCAGAAAAGAAATGGAAATAAAAAAAATTAGAGCAGATACTATATATAGCAATAAGAAGTAATTAAGCCAAAGGATAAAGAATGTTAGAACCTGAGGCAGTTTATCTATGAATTTAGCAGCATTGGCAAGTTCAGAAGCAGCTTTAATTTCTTCCAGGGTTGCACCAGGCTTCCCATAAGCAATATTGTCTTTAATGCTAGCTGCAAACAGCATAGGTTCCTGGCTGACAAGCCCGGTCTTCTCTCTTATCCATCTTAGCTGAAACTCCCTGAGATCTATACCATCTATCAGAACTTCACCTGCTTGTGGGTCATAAAATCTCTCAATCAGGTTGATCACAGTTGACTTCCCGCTCCCACTGTGCCCAACCAAAGCTGCAGTTGTTCCACTGTGTATGAAAAGAGAGAATCCACTGAAAATCTGCTCACTTGGTCTAGAAGGATAACTGAAGTAAACATCCCTTAATTCGATATCTCCATGAATGTCATCTAGTATCTTTCCGCTAGTGTCATAGGCATCGATCTCTGTCTTCCTCCTGATCGTCTCAAACATCTTGAATGCTGCAGCTTGTCCAGCTGCAAATGCATTCGTGCATGGAGTCGCTTGCCCTAAAGACCTGATGAAGAATTACCCAATAACAATTATTAATTAATGTCAGAATTCATTAATGGAGCTCATCAAAATTCTACTACCAGCAGAGAGTATATTTTGAAGCTTGGAACTTATGTTTACATGGAGCCAGACAATACTGCAACCATTACATTAAGGACATCTCCTGCTGTATATCCTTTGTCAAGTATCATCTTCCCACCATACCACACAGCCAAAGCATAACCGCCGAACATGATAAACATAACTGCACCAAGACCTAATCCTGCGACCAACCCTTCGTGAACACTAGAGTTGTAGGCGTTCATGAGAGATTTTTCGTATCTGCTTATTGCTTTCTTCTCCCCTGTAAATGATGCAACCTGTAGAAAATCGTGGTGGTCATCATATATATATACTTGATCAAACCAAAATGATGAAAACTTATTTAATTTACTTGGTGTATATCCAATTTCTGGCAACAAAAACATACTGTTCTGATCGAGCCGATTGTCTGTTCTACCACTTTTGCTGCTTCTGAATAAGCAGTTTGTCCACGGGATGCCGACTTTGCTATGATAATGGACATGATTGCACCAGAGATGACAAGAGGAGGAATAGAGGATAACATGACAAGAGTGAGAAGCCAACCTTTGATGAAAGCTATAACATAGCCTCCAAAGAATGTCGATACCAGCTGTATAAATTTTCCAACCTGAAAAATCAAAAGCCATCATCGATCGATCAGTTATAGTTTTGAAATCAAACCTTGATCAGTTGAATGGACCATATTTAATTTGAGAAGGCTTGAGATCATATATATACCTTCTCACCAATGGCATCTTGAATGAGTACAGTGTCACCCGACATCCTCTCAACAACTTCTCCTGTGTTTGTTTCCTTGTCAAAGAAACTGATTTCTTGTCTCAATATTGTTTTCAAGTATAAACCCCTTATTCTTGACGCCTGTCTCTCCCCTGTGATCATCCAGCACGCCACCTCTGCAAAATATAACAAAAGAATATTTATGGGTTCAATTCAAACTGTAACTCAATTGGTTTTAGATGTTGTGGAACTTCCTTGGTTTGCATTTTCAAATTAATCCCTCTGCCCCTATGGAAGAATGTGTGTGTACACATATATATGTATAGAACCCAACATACTCACGTAAGAATGCTGCCACGCCTGCCCCCACGGCCAGGTAAACAAGATTCAGACAGACCTGACAAGTGACAACACAATTAGTAAGATGGAATTGGAAAAGGTTTTGCCCATGTCGAATCTATTATTTTCCATCGAACTGATTTCCTAGCTGTGTTTGGTTGTGATGCAAACTCAAATGCAAATGTGTACTATGGGTACATAAATATCCCAGTTCAACGTTTGTATTGCAAACAAACACAGCCTATAATACAGTGTCTCAAGAAACAACATATTTTGATTTAATATCAACGTGTGTGATTATAACATGTGTGCTCAGTGTGTGTGTGGATTGGGCCTGAAGTATTAGCCCAGGCTTGTGGGCTGAGGCAGGCCTGGTCTCCTGAGAACACAAAACCTAAGGCTGAAAATGACCACCCCTTATTAGTAGACTGCAGTGAAATTCAGAATTCTGCAGTGGGGTGCAATAGTGTACTTTTTTTTCATTCAGATATTCACTTAAATAATAACAATGCTTTGGGTTAAAACTTAAAAATAAGCTCCAACAGTGATGTCAAAGCTTGTGTGACATATACATACCTTAGATATTTCATGGACTACATTTTTGGTTCCCAGGGTATCTCTAAAAGAATCAACTATTTGCCCAAACAGCACGGTCATAAGGGGCAAGGAGATTCCATTTGCAATGGCAGTTATTGTACCCACAATCATCAATGTTACATCTATAGAGTCTGCAAATGAGAAGAGTTTGTAGTATGGAACGGTGTTGAACTTCTCTTCTCCTTTGTCCTCCAAATCTTCTTCATGATGGGTATTTCCTAAGCCTTTCTCCTCCCTTATCGTTGTCGTCTCTGAGGTTGCATTCTCTTCATCCATTTGCCTGCAACAAGATCTGAACTCCTTTTTATGCAAGAAAATATAGTCGAATAAGCAGAAGAATTGTTTAGGCCCTGTTTAGTTCGGGGGAATAGGGGTCTGGTATCAGAATCGGGATGGGCTATTCTGGTTCTAACTATTTGGTTGAGTGGAATCAGAATCCCATTTTCATGCTTGTTGGAATAGCATTTCCTCATTTGAGGGAATGGCTATTTCCTACCATTCCTGCTGATTCTAATTCTAATTCCCATTCTTATTCCTGTCTGAACCAAACAGACTATGAAAATAGACTATTTCAATTCTGATTCTGGCTATGAACCAAACGGACCTTAGATATAATTAATTAATATGCTCGGTAATAATATGATCAGACCAACAAGAATTTTGGAAACTATTTGAGGTCTCAATGTCTTAACTCCAAATTCCAAAATAAAAAATAATGGCATTTTAAACCCTGATTTCTATTTAATCTCACTAAACCAATGTCTGATACTGTTAATTAATTTCCACATAAAAGCTATCTGTAGACAAGTAATCTCTATACAACCACAACTATAATACCATAATCCAATCAAGAATAGAAAGTTGTAATCAACCATATGTATACAATCAAAAGGGTTCATATCTGTGTATTGTTGTGTGCAAAGAATAAAAATGATTATCCCCATTCACAAATCATAGTGCAAAAACGTAATACATACAATGAAAAAAAAGAAAAGAAAATAAATTAAACCCTAAACTAAAAAAAAGTGGTGGAATTCATAATATATAATATAAAAAAAGAAAGAAAAGGACCAAAGACCAATAAAATAAATAAACGTAAATGGTCTGTGTGTAAGCCTATAAGATGTAAGAGGCAGAATTATGCCTGGCTATACAGAGAGACATGATCTCTGGCCATTAAGAGATTTGATCACTGAAGGAAATTGTTTTTAGATTCTCCGCGTCTATGCGATTATGCCCAACTGATAAAAAAATAAATAAATAAAGGAACTGGAATTACATTATCCTCATTTAAATTCAACTAGTTAATTAGAGAAAGAGAAAGTTGATGGAAAGTTCTCAATAAATTTTGTAAAATCCTTTAGGCTGTATTTGGTTTGAAGGAAAAAGTGGGGAAAGGAAAGGAAAGGTAGAAACCCATACAAGGTTTGTAAAGGTTTCCCTACCTTTTCTTCCTTTCCCTATTTTTTCCTTTAAACCAAACATAGCCTTAAAAATAAATTTTCACTCAACTTTGTGTTTCTCTCGTACTTTTCTATTAAACCAAAGACAAAGTTTAAGTAATTATGTTCCTTCTCTCCTAGAAATTAACCTTATTCAACCACCAGTGAATACTGTTCTAACTAATAAAAACATCATAAACAAATTAATCACATCTCTCTCACGAAGGTTAATTAATTTAATGTACTGTATCCAAAATAGAATGAAGATTAAAAGTCCTACAAACTGTATACAAACAACAAAGATTTCATATATATATATATATATATATGTCTGTATCTGATCAGAGAGAGAGAAAGAAAGTATTGAATTGAACCCATGTTATTTCCAAATGAAAACATGAATTGCAAAAATAGAAATATCTGCAACTTTGTGATACCATTGATATACAAACAATGGAACAAGAAGCACTGATCTTTCTTAGAACAACACCAAGTACAAATAGAAAATAATAATAAGACCGAGCGAGGAAAAGAAAAGAAAAAAGAAGACCAATCAGTCATCTTAAACTCAGATGGATGTCGCTAGCCAAACTCTCAACTTCAATATCGAAGTGGATTCCAATCTGAAATATGATCATCACCATCATCATCAACCCAAAACTAGGAAAATATGAACACATTCAGATAAAACAAAACTGTAAATAGACATCTAAGAAGCATCGACTCACCAGAAGTAGCTAAAATCTACGCCTTCGTAATCTGGGTTCTCATTTATATTTGCACATAAGGATTGAGGATAGCTAAAGTTTAATTGCACTGTTTTTGAATTGTACTTTCTGGGTACACTCTTCTTTCAATTCGGGCCGGTCAACCTTAATGTTACTGTGATTTGCTTGAGGAGCAAGTATCAAAATCACCAAATCAAAAGTTTTTATCTATTAATATCTCCTCGATCCGACAATATAAATCAGATATGTTAAGTTCTTTCTTTTTTTTTTTATATTATATTTTGTTTTCTTCTGGTATAAGCCAGATCTGTGAATTCTGTTATTTCATTATATATATATATATATATATATATATATATATATATATATTCTGTGACTATTTCGGAAATAAACTATTCTGCTGCACATGGATTTCTAGGAAATAAACAAAAATGATAGCAAAGCATGAACTAGTTCATCACCGATCATGAATTATAATGAATTATATTGACTGATAGCTAGGTATCACATAGCTCACAGACAAGCCAAGAACAATGGCCTGTGTCAAGCTGTTCTGGGAATCCACTTCCACCACACGATATCTATTTTATCTTTTTGACCGTAAAAGCAGTTTCTTTTTTAATTAATAAACATTAAATCAGAAGGCAAGTTCAACAAACAGGCAATTTTATCAAGTTGACAAAATACTATGGGCACTTGCTTTGTATATAATATAGATATCATGGTACTAACTACTAAGCCAAGTGCATTTGTTAATAATTTACCACTCTCCCCCACTCCTTGTTTACGGCAGCCATTTGAAAAAATTTCTAGTGGCTGATGAACCGAATGAATGACTTATTTCTTCTTGAGGGTCTTTTTAGGGTAAAATATTTAAATCCTACTTTTTGAAATACTACTTAAATCCATGTGTGAAATCCTTCCTCACATGTGGGTCTGCATCTTTCAGCCTCTTCACTGCCAAGACTTCCCAACCTGGTTCAAAGATGTGAAGTATTAGATACGAACTCTAAACAGAAATAATGTAATATTAAAGCTGTAGAAATACCATGTAATTCTGAAGTAGTATAGAAACAAGAAAACTCCAGCATAGACTCACATCAAGTAGAAGCTGAAGAAAAACCAAGGCATCTGTCAATGGAATTAAAAGAGTCATGTGAAGTTCAACTTTTATTGATTTGATGTGTTATAAGGTTGGTAATTTATTTGATTTTGTAGGTTTGAGTATGGCTTTTTAAGTGGTATTACAAAATTGAGGTTTTGGCACAGAATCGATTCTAGTTTCAAATGCTGAATAGTCTGTATTGTTCAAGAAGGGATTTAGCATGATCTATATTTCCCAATTCTGTTTGGTTGTATATCAAATGCATCACTGTTGCAAGTTGAGGAATTTGAAAATTTGATGTTTTATATAGTTCTGTTGTCGAATATATTGGTCCAATCTTTACACATGATGGTTCCATTAGAAATCTAGAATTTATTGCAGAGGTGTCTTTGCTCTCCATCTTCTATTGCCTATGTGGGTGTTTGGCACCGGTGTGTTTTACAAGTGTTCCGTTTCTTCTGATGTATCATGCGTGTTACATCGGCAAATAAACGGAATCGGCAAGAAAATCGCATTTAACAATCCTGTTTTTTAGAAAAACATTTTTGTAATGATTAGCTTTGAAATTTGGGAAAGGGGGGTTTCTTGAAATGTCAAATTTACGTTTCTTGAATTGCCTTGGCAATCCTGAATCGCCCTGATTGACATGGAACATTGAAATTTGAAAAATCTGATTACTTTTCTGAGATGTCAATTGTCATTATAAATATATTATAACATTAAGTCAAATTACTTTAAATGCCCATCAGCTTGCATCCTGATTTTTTGTATGTAATCTCCCAATTTCTAGATAATAGTGGTTTGATATGTTGTTACATGGTTTTCTAAACCGGACCAAAAAAACCGGAAATTTCTAAAACCCGTTGAAAAAGTCAGAAAATTGCTGACCTTGGCAGTCGGACCACTAAACCTTTCGACCCGGGCAGCAGTTCGCGGGTTACTTTTTTTATTTCCAATGTTTTAAATAAAAGTAAACAAAAAATAAAATACCTTCTCCCCAATCCAGTAATCCAGTAACCCAGTTCGAATGTTTAGTCACTTCAGCTTTAGGGTTTCTGAGTTCCCTCCTCTCAACCCTCACACCCAACCGACCACCTGCGGCGGCCAGCACCTCCAGCATTTGACCGTGACCGGCGATGACGAACTTGCAGGCAGTAGTAAGAGTTGCGGGCCTTGCGGCGATTAGCACTTGCAGTGGCGGACGGTGAACTTGCCTGCGACCAAGTTTGCAATGGTGGACGACGATTTTGCAGCAGCGGGTGAGTGTTTCTAGCGATAGTAACAGTTGCAACCACTTGCAGCGGCAATCATCTGGACAATCAATAGGGATCTTGGGTCCTCTAAGCAGCATTGTAGAGATGTATATGGAAGAGTTCGACAACACCATGCTCATCAATGTGCGAGAGGTGGCATCAACGATTAATCACACAGGTCGGGCTATGGTGGAGAGAAAGATATGCGGCTCGATCATCTGCACTGAAACTGTAGCAACGGCCTTGGGTGGCTCTACTCCTCATACATAGACCACTTCTAAGGGCTCTGTTTCTTTCTTCAAACGAAGTAGATGGAGGATTGGTAGCTACTCCCCCATCCAATGAGAGAGAGAAAGAGATTTACCGATGAAGTTTTATGGTTTTATTTTTCTGTTTTTTTGATTTTTTTTGTGTTTTTTCTGTATTTTTTTTAAAATTTCTGTATTTTATTTTTATATTTTTTATGTATTTTGTACTGTATTATTTTTTATTTAGATAGTTTTATTTTTTGTATTGTCCTGTATTTTTTTATGTTTTTTATTTAATTTTATACTATTTTTTATTATTTATAAATATATTTTTTATTTTTAATTTGTTTATGATGTCACAGGTTGAACCGTTTGACCTAGACAGTTGAACCGTTTAACAAGAAATTGGTCCCCTGACTGATTCTGTTTCCGGTTCGTTTTTAAAAACCTTGTGTATTGGTTACAACAAGATGAAGAAAATATAAATTATCAATGGG